GATGGATAATCACTAGGCATCTCTGATGGTACCTCTGATGGATAACTTGATGGTGTCCCTGAATGGATCTCTGATGGTACTTCTGATGGATAATCACTAGGCATCTCTGATGGTACCTCTGATGGATAGCTTGATGGTGTCCCTGAATGGATCTCTGAGGGTACTTCGGATGGAACATGACTGGGTTGTCTTGATGGAACCTCTGATAGAGATCTAGATGGTGTTGCTGAATGGACCCCTGATGGCGTGTCTGATGGAGCATCGCTGGRCTTCTCAAGAACCACTCCACTGACAAGGTAGGCTGAAGCAAGATTTGGGCCTCCCATAGAGAAGTAATCATCGACACCTGCAAAAGAATCCTCTTCACGAAGGCTGTTGCAGCTGTTGCCTCCTATGGGGGMAAAAGTGTAGGAAAGCGCAGCACAATCCTCTACTGTACCCATCTCAGCAAAGCTTGGGTCCCACCTTAGGTCTGCAGGTCCAAGCCCATCCGCTCTTGCATGGTTRCATTCACAGTGCACACTAACACCATCATYATGAGGGCACTCAAAACCAAAGAATTCAAATCCTCGGTCTTTGCAAATCTTTTCGCACTGGAGTGGATCGTTCTTGGGAATGACCTCYTTGTAACCCCATGGGGCAACTGTTCTTGTGWACCWATCAGARCGCGTGCATCCATATGGGACTTGCGASAAAAATTCCGCAGGTGGTGGTTTCGCCCTGTATATTGATCCACCCCAGGACCCCCCCATGGAGTATCCACCCCTCATGCCATTTCCAGTGCATATGGTTGGTCCSAGGGCATTGCAATCTATGGAATCAGGCACTACTGGCCAAACTCTGGCATTGCTGTAACATTGGCACTCCACCTCAGTTGCACCCGGACACTCAAAACCAAAATACTCGTATCCCTGTAGCCTGCAGGCTTGATAGCATGAATAAATTGAAAAATCACCACTCGGCGCAACAGAATCCTCATAACGGATGTTTAGTGGCCGAGCGTCAAAATTCCACACTCCATCTTGATACCCAGTGCAGCCCATTTGCTCAAATTCTACTTCAGGCATATCGCCAGGTGAAAGACTATGAGACAACCTGTATCTTGATGCAATGTCAGCCCCCCCCAAAGAAAAACCATTATAAAACCCAGGGCCCGTGCAGTGCTTGTCACCCCCACTGCCAACCCTTGCCTTGCAATCTGCATCTTCCACAGTCTGGGGATCTCCAGCCTGTTCAGCACTAAGGCATAGACAATGCACTTTAGCTGACATGGGACACTCAAACCCAAAATATTCATATCCATTACTCATACAGCTTTCATAACAAAAATCAGCTTCAAACGCAACACCATTGGCACTATAAGATACATCCATAGGATGGAGACTTGAGTCGCCTGGGGTATTATATGGAGAGCATCCAAGCTGCTCATACTTCTTTACAGTGTAGATGGATCCAACAGAAGCCCCACCCATTGAGTAGCCATCTCTCATGGCATCTCCAGTGCACRACCCTGCTGCASYAGCTGGCACCAAGGATTGACAATCTTTGTTTTCCGGTGCCCTTGACCCCACAAGATCATTGCTGTAGCAATTGCAATTGACAAGTTGCGATTCAGGACAATCAAAGCCAAAAAACTGATATCCTTTTTCCCGGCAGGCTTCGTAACAAGGATACACTGAAAAAACGCCGAATGAATAA